CCCCCCCCCACTTTTCATAAACACATGACATTCTGTAGTTACAGTTCACTCGTTGGAATTTGTTTTGTTTACTACTGCCAGTCAAAAATATTAGTTACCGACTAGTGGTTTTGATTGACAGCATCAAAAAACAGCAACAAAAAAAAAACAAAAAAAAAATTTTAGTGTGCAGCTACTGAGTTCACATGTTAATAAAATAACAGTAAGCAGTAGTGGCAGATCCAGGATTTTTCAAAGGGTGGTTCCGTTTTTTTAACTGTGTATAGATTGTGATAAACTGTGTGTTTAGTCAATGTTTGACAAAAAATTGGATCTAATCACCTAATTTACTATCTAGTAACGGAACTTAAAGGTAAATTAAACATTATAACAGCAAATATCAAAACCACTAATATTTTTTTATTAAAATTTATATAAGACATATTTCTATTACCTAGAAGATCAAACCTTCAAGGGGGGTGTGGGGGGTGGGGGTCCGTGGACCCCTTCGACTCCCCCTGGATCCGCCACTGGTAAGCACTGTAATGAATGACTCTTATGGTACATTACAAAACTTACATTAATGTCGGCACCTTTTTGTAACAAGAGAGCTAAGACATCTTTCTGTCCATAGTCTGCAGCTATATGTAGTGGTCTTCTGCCTTGTAGTCCCATCTCCTTGTTTGCATCAAATCCCTAAAAGACATTTAAGACAACTTAATATTTAGAAAATAATCTTTATGTTAAGTGAAATTGCAGCATGTATCAGCAGCTTAACTTTCAAATTCAGAGAGCTTCCTTTGTATGCGTGACAAATTTTGAGAGCCCTTCCTTGAAATCATGTCCCAAAACAATTTTGTAAAAATAAAAATAGTAATGTTTTGCAAGGCTAGTACTCATATAACAGACGGTGGATAACAAATCTTTGCCCCTCATTCAGAAGTTGATTTAAGCAGAGGGATCAGAACAACTGAAAAAGTTCGAAGCATAGAAGAGAACCTGTAGAAACTCTACTGACTTCTAATGACACAAGCCTAGGAATCGAACCTTGGTCAATTTAGGGAGAGGCAACACTCACACTACACTACCTGTGCTTGAAGGGGAATTGAAGTGGAATTTAGAAAATTATTTTTGTGGAGTGAGAAAAACTGGAAAACCTAGAAACTGGAGTCAAGCACGGGAGAGAATCAACAAGTGACTATTCCAACACAATAAGACTATGGATCTATTTTTTACTCACAATCTGTAGTGCAATACACAAATTCTCATCGAGACAAAATCACAATAAGTTCCAATTGCATGCAGTAAATAAATAGTCTCAATTACCTCAAAATTTTGTAACACAAATTTGTAAGCAAAATTTCTTCATCTAACTTAACTTAACTTTGAATTCGGTTTCAACATAGAGGATTGCATTGAATAAGTGATTATTTTAAATACAATATCAGTATTCTGGTACAACAACTAATAAATTTAACTTGACACGCAAATCCTTTTTGAGTGTCAATGTAATACTCGAATACACAACACTTGGAGATAAATATCGAATCAGTCGAATGTACGGGTGAAAAAGAAAACATAAAATGCCTTGGTAAAAACGATAAACAAACTTAAGACATTAATTCAAAGGGATTCTTTGTTTTTAAGACAACAATTAACCATTTAAAAAATTAATCTGGATTTTGTCCATTTGTTGAAGATCGTGACCTCACGACTCGATCGAAGGTTCTCAATTACAAGGAGCCAAATTTTGAAGTATTAATGAATTCTGCTGCTTCAAAACTCCAATATAACAGTACTTCTAGCAATAGTTGTACTCCAAAGATGCTCAGAAGCAAGATCTCGTGAGCATGGTAGCGTGATTTCTCGGGGGAAAAGAATAAAGAGCTTTTTGTACGACAAAGTGAAAGTGTACAAAATTAATCATTCGAAGCTGAAAAATGCTTCAAATTTTCACCGAAACAAAAAGCTTTCGATCTCCTACCTTTGAAAATAGCTCGTTTACTTTGTCCATGTCTCCATTTTGTAAAGCCCAGCGTATTTCCTCAGTCATTGTGAGTGTTTTTCGTGGAGATTTTATCAAACAAATTGTCAGTGAAAAGTAGACTTGCTTCTTGTAAAATGGCACAGCCCAGAACAGTCAGCGGCAACTAGTCGTGCCAGGACTACTCAGGGTAAATAAGAAGGTAGGGGAGGGGAGGGAAGGGGCGGGTTCGGTTCAAAGGCTACAAATACGGCTAAAAGGAGTCATAGTTTTGTTTATTGTTTTTTTTAATCCGCTCTTCTCTCCCTAAATAATGGGAGGGAAGAGCGGATATTGAAAAAGCCCACTTAACGGCCTCAAATCGCGCTGAATCTTCGCCAGAAAACTGAACAAAGTAAAAGCAACAACTGCAGCAGGTTTTGAGACAAATTGTTGAGTGAGGCATTTTATTGTCATGACTTTATCATAACTCCCATACATTCCCTTATAAACCATACACAGGAACCTTGTTTGGGCTGCCTGTGTTTAGAAAACGAGATGTTATAAAAATATCTAATAAAAAAGTACGTATATAATCACTATGATGAAGATACTGGGCGAAAACTGAGAATCAGGTCGTTGACGACGGCGTTGAGCGCGTTGTCATGGCCCCGGCGGGGGATCCAGGATAAAGGGGTAGGGGTTCCTGTACTATGATCAGCACAGAGGCTAGATCTGTGAGTCAAGCACGCCCTGAATTTGATCAGCCCAGAGGTTGTTTCAGGGTTAAATATGTGAGTTAGCCATGCCCTGACTTAGGTTGTTTCAGGGTTAAATATGTGAGTTAGCTGTGCCTTGAATTTGATTGAGGCCAGAGGTTGTTTCGGCAGGGCTATCTGTGAGTTTGATCAGGCCAGAACTTGTTTGAGAGTTATATAACATCTTGAATTTGATCAGCACAGATGTTGTTTCAGGGTAAAATCTGTGAGTTAGACCGGCGTGCCCTGACTCATATAATCCAGGTTGTTTCAGGATACAGGGGGAGTGGGTGGGTAAGGCAGTAGGCCATACTCCCCTCTTACTGGATTAGCCGAAAGATTCAGGGTCTTGGAAGGCTTATTTTTGTTAGGTGAGAGAAGAAGTTAACAAATCGACATTATTGTAAAAAATAAAATAAAATTAAAAAAATAAAATAATAATAATAATAAATTCAGTGCGGATTACTGCAACCAGGCCGCCTAGACCGCGAGAACCAAGCAAATTGTAGACTGAACTGACAATGCAACTTTGCGTAGTAGAGCCAACCAGAATCTAGTAGGAAACAATGACCTTTCAAAATATTCTTTTATTCCCACGAGAAAATGACGATGGCGCCCATCTAGTTTTGTAGACGTAACATCAGATCAGCCTTCTTATTTTTATTTACTGGTGGGCCATTTTTTCAGTAAATGCTCTAAAACAGCTAAAAATCACGTAGAATGACGTTAAATACCATTAACGACAACATAACTCAACGTATATTCCAATAGCGCAACCCAACCGTGACGTCAAAAAAAAAAAAACAAAAAAAAACAAAAAACAAACAAAAACAAGACAAAGGCGAAATTCAGACAAACAAACTTACAAATTTACTTTCAGCAGGTACTTTTCACAGCCGATCGCAGTTAATCTTAGTTTACATGGGTTATTATTGTAACTTTAAGTAAAAATAGCAAAATCGCTTCGTGTAATCCTCGTAGCGGTTAAACAGAATGCAATGTGTGTCCGAATCTTTAGGTTATTTTTAGAATCAGTGCGCTGCGCTATTATCTGGGGGGAAAAATGCATACGTTTTCATCCCATACATTACACAAATAAATTGCTTGGGCCTCCTGTAGGTTGATAGTCTCCCTCGCACCCGTTTTTAGTGTCGATCGTCACGCAACGCTCACTAAGAACGGATGCGAGGGAGACTAGTAGGTTGAGGGGTGGCCAAAAAAATTATGTATTAAAGTATTTATTGTTGGGATACCTGTGTGTCATTTGATACATTCGCTATCCCAGTATCCTTAGGGGCACATTGGGGGCATTTCTCATAAAGTCGTACAATCTTCGAAGGGAAAGGTTAAGTTCTCTCTGGTTCAGTCCGAAAAATCTCGTTTTCAAGGTATGAAAAGTTTCCTAATCATCGAATATACTAACTTTATGTATCTGTGATCAATATTTTATAAAATGTAACAACTTTTAGACGTTCATACATCGAAATTTTGAGCAAATCTTGAGTTGATCTTTTGACTTCACAATCTATCAGTTCAAAGACAGAAAGATCGAAAGAGCTACTCAAACCTAGTAAAGGTTTTCTTCTATTATATTTACCTCATAAACACGATATGTTTTATTTTAATTATGATTTATTTCGAGTTAGTGATTAACTATCAGCTTTTTTTGAGTGGTTTTTTGCTGAGAGGCTCCGCTTGTCGTACCTTGAAGTCAAGTCGCTCAAAATGGCGTCGGATAGTGCCTTCCATATTTCTGCTTCATTCTCGGCTCTTTTTTCATCAAAGTTCGACATTGACGGCCAAAGAGGCAAAATCAAAAGAAATTCCCAAAACAAGAAGTCGTTATTGTAGATATATAATGGTTTTAACTATTTTTTTTAACCTCATCCATGAGGTTCGTGCCACAAGCACTAATTTTACGTTTCTAAACAATACTCAGCTCGTGCCTATGTTGATTTTTATTGAGGAAATATTTCGAAAAACCATCGTGGAAAATTGAACGACAAATCAAACAAAAACTCAAGTGGCATATAAGGTTCAATTCTTGGTTTTCATGTGACGTCATACACCTATCAAATGTTATCGTCCGCCATGTTGGTGTCGCACGAGCTAATTAGCATATGTCATATAACAGAGAGATGCATGTGTTTTGAAGCGGAGAATATAAATGTCGCGTGATTTTATTGAAAATACAGAAGATAAAAGTCACGCAGAAC